CTTTAGTATGTTAGTCAACACAACAAAATAAGTGTACTTCTTTAAAACATGATACAGAATTATTAAAACATAATGATTTAATGCACGTTACAGTAAAACTTTTAATTTGACATTATTTTTAAAAGTGTGTTTAGAAACAGTCATGAAAGTGTTACTCTTTACTGTAAGTCATTTAATATTATCTGTTATAGTTATAATACGTTATCTACAATATGTTAATATAATAATGTAATATGTTATCTAAGTAGTTTATTAAAATATGCTTTTAAGACTTGTAGTACAAGTGCACATTCATTACAATTAAGCACACTTGACTAGTTACTCTTATGTTGTTCCATTTATTTATTTATTTATTCTATAGAGCACAAAATAAGATATTTGATGAATATTTCAGCTGTTTGTTTTTTTTGTGTGTATCCAATGAAAGCCAATGGGGTCCAAATGTTGCAGGCTGCAAAAAGGACATACATCATTAGCCACATGCTAACGGTTCAATCAGCCGCGAGTGTCTCAGGTGCTGGGTGTTCATCTCACGCTGATCCGCTGACATTACTCTGACATTGAGCCTCGTGGAAGATTTCATCTTTAAACGACCGCCATGATCCTTTAAAACTCGATTTGAATCTGTAATGTGGCGCATTACCCCCAGAAACTGAATATTCAGCAGGAAATAATGTGAGGCATGATTGATAATTTATGATTCGGTTGAGTGATATGACGGTATAAAACACGTGACCAAAGCGCTACAGATTCTGCTGCACAGTTAATGCTGCAGTATTTTTGTGAGATCGACAAAGAAACATGTTATAATACAGAGTGGCACCCGTTTCAAACAACTCCAGATAATACGGAAATAATATACTTTAAGAGAATGTACTTAAGTGTGAACTGAATATAAAGTGTGGTTAAAAGGTTAAAGTACTGCTGAATGTACTGACAAGCATGCTAAGCGAATATGCTTTAATGGCATTTCTATTGAAACTCGTCTTGTGTTTAAATATATTTGTGTTGATGAAGTTGCAATTTAGTGCATTTAAAATATATTGACTCTAAATGTAATATTGAATAACACACTACAGTTAAAATGATAATCAGGAACTTAAATGTGCTTTAGTATGTTAGTCAACACAACAAAATAAGTGTACTTCTTTAAAACATGATACAGGATTATTAAAACATAATGATTTAATGCACGTTACAGTAAAACTTTTAATTTGACATTATTTTTAAAAGTGTGTTTAGAAACAGTCATGAAAGTGTTACTCTTTACTTTAAGTCATTTAATATTATCTGTTATAGTTATAATACGTTATCTACAATATGTTAATATAATAATGTAATATGTTATCTAAGTAGTTTATTAAAATATGCTTTTAAGACTTGTAGTACAAGTGCACATTCATTACAATTAAGCACACTTGACTAGTTACTCTTATGTTGTTCCATTTATTTATTTATTTATTCTATAGAGCACAAAATAAGATATTTGATGAATATTTCAGCTGTTTGTTTTTTTTGTGTGTATCCAATGAAAGCCAATGGGGTCCAAATGTTGCAGGCTGCAAAAAGGACATACATGTTAAGTGTTAGTGCATTGAAATATAAAGTACATTTTGATGAAAAATTATGACTAGAGTGCACTAATGAATCACAATAAAATGGAGACATTTATTAAGAAGTAAATTAAATCAATTTTGACCTGATGTCATTTAGCATATGATTAAAATGCAATTAAAACACTACTTTTGTTGTGATAATGAAATTTAAATGCCATAATTTAGTTAAGATTAAAAAAAGAAAAACTGGTAATGTTGCATACAATTACTGGTACATATTACAACCCTAAAATGCAATGCATGATTCAAATTATGAGTAAAACACCTGTTAAAAAATCTATGCGAAAAAAAAAGAAAAATGATAGGTGTTTCTGTAAATCAGCTTGTTAAGGATTTTAGTACATCACTTGTTGATACTACGGTATTCTGGATGTTGGTGGATACTGTGCATGTTTCTGGATAGTTATTTACTGGCCTAAAAGTCAAAAAGAAACCATTCTCAAGTCTATGACATTCTGGTCATTGAACGTGTGGTTCAGTTTTATTGTCCAAAAATCATAAAAAACAATGCGTGTTTTAAGCTCAAACAGTGTAATACTAAAGGTGAGAAATGTCCACAAACTCCAAACCCTGAGTATGCAATAGTAACACACTGCTAATGATGTGTCTCCCCTCTGTGTGTGTGTTTTCAGGTGTAATAACCGGACGCAGTGCGCCGTCGTAGCCGGACCGGACGCGTTTCCCGACCCCTGTCCCGGGACATACAAATACCTGGAAGTGCAGTACGAGTGCGTCCCGTACAGTACGTATCAACTGTCTGTGATCGCTGTCTAATGAAAGCACTTCAACACAAACACACCCAGCATCTTCCTCCTGCAGCTCAGAGAACTGATTTATTCTTCTTTCTCCTGCAGTTTAAAGTCTCGCCTTCATTTGAACTCATCCGTCCCTATCTGTCGAGTGTGTGTGTGTGTGTGTGTGTGTGTGTGTGTGTGAGAGAGAGTATGTGTGTATGTTTGTGTTTGTGTGTGTGTGTGTGTGTGTGTGTGTGTGTTTGTTTGTGTGT